GTCCTTTTGGCTCCACTGTCTCCCGGAAAGAATCCCTTAGCCCATGTCGAGCTGGGGTGGGAAGGTTTCCGGTTACACCTTGTCGATGTCTGATCGGAAGGTTGTTGTATATACATAGGAGGTTTTGCGATAGGGCCAATTAGGGAGTTAGACCTGGATTCTATGCATACTTCGATTATTGTTTTGGATCTTTATGCGAGATAGACTTATGCGATATTGGTGAGCATAGTGGTTTTGCTCACCCCCATTATTGTTTTGTCCTCTTGTTTTCCTCTTCCTATCTTTAGGTTGAGCGTTGTTGGCGGCGGTGGCAAGAGACGAGCAAGTGGTGGTCTTTGGACTGTCATGTCTTTGCTTCCGCTTTATCTATATTTTTTATATATATATATGTTGGATCGTTACCTATGGATTATTATGCTTCCGTTTTAACTTTTGAACATGTCGTTGGAATAATGATGTTTTCGATTAGTTTTGAAAACTTATGAATGATTTGATTTTATTATTATAATTGATAGACCGCATGTTTAGAACCATCGTGGATGTCTAAATTGTTTACCTTGTTAGTTGATTTAAGTAGCGCCCCTTAAGATAAAGTTTTAAATAAAATTTTTGTAAAACTTTTACTCTGATTTTCATTAATAAATCTAGCAAATTCTTTAAAATAAAACGGGGCGTTACAGTATGGTATCAGAGCTAGTCTGCGTTTCTGTAGACTGTCTCTAGTGTTATTGTGTTCATGACCATTGACCACTCGCTTCGTCTCGCCGCGCCAACTCGAGGTATGAGTTTTTGTTTATTGTTCATATTATTGGGGCTTAGGACTACCCACCACATTATGTAATGAATTCTAGTGTTTCAGCGTTGAACTCTAGAATTGATAATTTTTGTCTGTGCTAAAACTCTTCGGATCATTCAATGTAGAGCTATGGCTAGACGCAATGCTCGCAACAGGCAACCATCTCCATCCCCGCCTCCTTCGCCTCGTCAGCATGCTCCACCCGATCCAGACCGAGATTTTCCGAGGCTTATTATTAAGTTCCAGGGCATGCATCCGCCTACCTTCACGGGGACTGAGAGTCCCACTGCTGTGTTGGAGTGGATCAAGGAGTTGGATAAGATCTTCTCTGTGCTCCCTCTCACTCAGCCACAGCGCGTCTCTCTGGCTGGCTTTCAGATGAAGATGGACGCTTCAGATTGGTGGATTGATTACTGGGCCTTGAGGCCAGAGGCAGAGCGCAATGTGCTCACCTGGGAGCATATGAAGGATATCGTCCGAGATAAATTTCTTCCCCAGAGTTTCCGTGATCGCATGGAGCAGGAGTTTTGGCATCTTCAGCAGGGGAACGCCAGCGTGGACGAGTACACGCGCAACTTCACTCGCATGAGCATCTTCGCTGGCGAAATGGTGAATACCGATGCGAAGAAAGCCCGTAAATATCTGAAAGGGCTGAATCAGCGAATTCGCGAGCTTGTAGGGAGCCATGGAGCAATGCCTTATGCCGATACCGTTCTGCGAGCTCAGGAGGTTGAGAGTTTTTTGATTCCGATAGCTCCAGTGCACTCCTACTATCATGCTTCTCAGACCACTCAGACTGCACCTTCGCTCATCTCTCAGCCACCTGTCATTCGACAGATTTCTTACCAGTATCCTGCCCCGTTCCCTTCAGCTCCCCCGTCCTCTAGTTCCAACAAGAGGAAGAATGATCAGCAGAACCGCAAGAAGGGCAAGCGCCCTAACCATGGCCATCACCAGCATCAACAGCAATTTGTGACCCAGAATGTTCAGCCCATCCAGCAGTTTCCGACAGGACCGCCACCATGTGGAGCGTGCGGACGGGTCCATGAAGCCAACATGTGTCGCGCTGCCGACGTGACTTGTTTCAACTGCCAGAAGAAGAGCCATTACTCCCATTCCTGCCCCGAACCCCGAAGGCCAAATCATCTCCAGCCTCATCAGCAGCAGCAGCAGCGAGCCCCAGCCCGAGTTTATGCCATTACTCAGGCGGAGTCAGCCAACAATGCAGGTACAATGTCTGGCATGCTATCTTTATCGAATGTGCCTATCTATGCTTTATGTGATACTGGGGCCACACATTCTTTCATCTCTCGTCAATGCCTGGAGTCACTGGGAATCCGTAGTGTTAGTAGAGTCGATGCTCTCGAGGTTTGTTTAACTTCGGGAAAAACGATCTCTACCGATACGATGGTACAGGGACTTGAAATTTCAATTGGAGGCCGAACGTTGGAGGCAGATGCTTATATCATTGATATGCGGGATTTCGACGTCATCCTTGGTATGGACTGGCTTACCCACTACCGTGCTGACATCTGGTGCTTAGAGAAGGAGGTCACGCTTCACCCAACCGATGGAGAGTCGATATTGTTTTACGGCGCCAAGTCGATGACCGTGCCGAAAGTTATTTCCTCCCTGAAGGCCATGAAGGGAATAACAAAGGGTAGTTGCCAAGGCTACCTAGTGAGCATGACCAGAGAAGGGGAAGAGAAGAAGCCATCACCGAGGGACGTATCAATTGTATGTGAGTACCCCGATGTTTTTCCCGACCAGTTGCCAGGTGGACCGCCCAACAGACAAGTTGAATTCACCATTGACTTGCTGCCTGGAGCCGGACCCGTCTCGAAGGCCCCTTATCGAATGGCACCGAAGGAGTTACAAGAACTCAAGACGCAAATCCAGGAGCTGTTGAACCTTGGTTTTATCCGACCAAGTGTTTCACCCTGGGGAGCACCCGTGCTGTTTGTGAAGAAGAAGGATGGTTCGATGCGCATGTGCATTGATTATCGTGAGTTGAACAATTTGACGGTCAAGAACAAGTACCCCTTGCCGAGAATTGAGGATCTCTTTGATCAGTTGAGAGGAGCCAGTGTCTTCTCCAAGATCGATCTGCGGTCTGGTTATCATCAGTTGAAGATAAAGGAGTCTGACGTCTCGAAGACCGCCTTTCGAACTAGGTACGGTCATTATGAGTTCGTGGTCATGCCGTTTCGGTTGAGTAATGCCCCTGCGGTGTTCATGGACTTGATGAACCATGTTTTCCATCCGTACCTGGATCGCTT